GATGCAGCCCAGAGTACGGTTGGCCTTCTGGGCTGCCAGCGCACACTGCTGGCTCATGTCCAGCTTTTCATCCACCAGCACCCCCAAGTCCCTCTCGGCAGGGCTGCTCTCCATCCTTTCTTCCCCCAGCCTGTACTGATACTGGGGGTTACCCCGACCCAGGTGCAGGACCTTGCACTTGGCCTTGTTGAACCTCATGAGGTTCACACAGGCCCACCTCTCCAGCCTGTCCAGGTCTCTCTGGATGACATCCCGTCCTTCTGGTGTGTCAACCGCACCACTCAGCTTGGTGTCATCCGCAAACTTGCTGAGGGTGCACTCGATCTCGCTGTCTAAGTCATTGATGAAAACATTAAACAGCACCGGTCCCAGTACGGTCCCAGTAGAAAACTATTTACTGTGCTTCCAGCTCAGGCCCCAGCTCCTGGAACTCCTTGGTGGGCTTTTAATTTCTAATCATGCGATGTGGAGGTTGCCGGTGGCTTTTGCTGTGGTAGCCATGTGGCCGGTGGAGATGTGTGGGAATGCTAGCTCTGTCCAGGCTTCCTCCAGAAGAAGCTGAAATTAATACTTGTTTTTTGCTTAACAGTTGGTAACGTATTCCAGGGTTCACCCTGAAAAAGATTGCCTATTTTTTTTCCCACTGACAGCTTAGAAGTAGCCGCTGCCTTTTGATATCTGTTGCTTTGGGGTTGTGTCAGCCCCTTCGTGGCTTGCCAGCAGAGCTGTGGAAGCGGCAGCAGCCTCTCGCCCGCAGCCCTTATCTCCTTACACTGCTCCGGTAACGTATTTAGGCCAAATCCTAGCTAAGCCACGTGCGTTGTCCTCTGGTCCTCGGGCAAATGCAGCGCGAGCCGTGAGCGGGGTGCGCCGGGGCGAGCACAGCTCATCGCTGGGCTGAGGGCAGCCTCGCCAGGCTGCTGCTTTCCCTTGGACCTTCGTTGTCCCGTCTCCCAGTCGCCTTGTTTCGCATGGCTTCGGTTCCCTCCTTGGCTTAACAAAGCTGAACTTGCAAAACTGATTTCCATTTAGGTAGGGATTATGCTTGCATAAATCCCTGGCAACACGAGCCCTCTGTGAGCCTCTCGGTCAGAGCCCAGCGCGCCGCTCAGCCGCGCTCGCTGGAGGGGAATTTGCACCGTAAGCTGGTCGAGTTCATCGGACAATAGAGGCTGTTGCTTTTGGTTTTACTTCAGCGATTTGATTTAATTATTAAAATGCATTTATTTATTTTGTGTCAGGGGGATGTTACTTGTTGGATGCAAGCTTGAGAGTCTTTCGAACACTTAAGCCGTGTTCTGCTAAGTTAGGAAAACGCACTCCTTCCTGTATGTGGTTTCAGAATGTGTCTTTTAAAACCCCAATACTTAAACCATTAAATTGTCTATGTCTAACAAAGTCTAAATTCCAGCCTTCTACACGAAGTAGTAAATGATCAAAAGCTGGTTGTTCATCAAACTCTGGTTTTGGCTCTATGGCCATTACTGCCTTTTGAAATAACCTCATACAGAGTTCCATGTCTTTCAAACCTACCCTGTTTACCCATCTAAGCATCACTTTTTTCCCTATTATTTCACATCTTAATATACTTTATTTTTTTGCTGAACATGTTCAAAACACATTTTCATGTTTTGGTATGGTAAAATTTCTCTTAACTATCTAGCAAAGGGTAAAGAACGGGATTAAGCTGATACAGGTGTAAATATCCTGTTGGTCTCTGATGTGAAATAAGCTTTCTTGGATCTGCCTCATCTGTATCGCGACTTCAGGTTTCTGATGTAACAAGTAAAGCTTATTTCTCAAAAATAAAAATGTGATCGTTTCCTAATCAGTATGGCTGTGAGTTTTAAATTTAAGAATTCATCTTGAGCGTAGTTGAATTGGGAAGAGCCTGTGAATACTAACACTGAAGTAGATGAAAACCATACAGTGTGTTGTAAATGACCAAAGGAAGTGGATAATGATGTATTTTCCAGCTGGAAAGTACTCATTTTCTGTTCAAAGAATTAAATGCTTCAGGAAACAGAGCGGGGTGCACACCCATTATCAGCAGTTCTTTAGGGTTTTTTTTTTCTACTTGTACATGGCGTAAGGGAAACAGGATGCTGTCGCCGCTGCGTGCATGCGAGGCACCGCAGCGCGTCCTGCCATCTCGCTGTCGTCTCGCGTTTCAAAATCCACCCTAGCTCTGGCTCTATCATCCCCTAAGATCTACGAGCTGCAGGTTGTAAAAGCAAACTTCAAAAGGATGCGGAACCCACGCTTCTCCGGCGAAGGCGGCCCTGAGCTGCGTGTCTGGCCCAGGGAGCGGTGCAGGGCTGGGCTGGGTGCCCTTGGGGAAGGGTCCTGCAGGAGGGGCAGGCGGCCACCGGGACGTCTTGTAGGTATGGAAATGGTGCCCGGGGGCAGGTAGCTCTGGTTGGCTTTGGGGGAGTTTTGTTGGGTGCTTTGAGTGGTTGTTGTTTGCTTGTTTAAGGTCTTTTCATAGAATCACAGAATCATTTGCGTTGGCAAAGCCCTTTAAGCTCCCCCAGCCCAACCGCCCCCCTACCCCTGCCATCCCACCCCCAAACCCTGGCCCTCAGCACCGCCTCTGCCTGGCTGTTAAATCCCCCCAGGGCTGGGGACTCGACCCCTTCCCTGGGCAGCCCCTTCCAGCGCCTGACAGCCCCAAGGGGAAGGAATTGTTCCCAATGTCCAACCTAAACCTTCCCTGACACAACTTGAGGCTGTTTCCTCTTGTCCTTTCTACCTATTTGTAACATCTTGGTGGCCTACAGCCATGGTAGGGGCTGCCCGAGAACCAGAGAAGGCCTTCTGAAATTATATATCAGGATGTTATTTCCAAGGTGTCTTAGTACTGATTTTAATCTATCTTTTTGCCCAATTTCTTTCTCCTGAAAGATTTTTAACTCAGTATCTAAACAAAGTGGATGAGAGCAAATCTGCTGCTGCTTCCGCTCCCCGGCGCTCGCTCCGATGCTTTCTGAGACACACGGATTTATAACGTAACGAGCGCAGACGCTTGGCTCTCCGCACTGCGCCAAGCAAATGCAGTCGCAGCCCCGGTGAGAGGCTGGTGAGCTGCGGCTGAGCACGAGACCCCCTCCTTCCCATCCTTCCCATTGCCTCTTGTGCTGTTTGTGGGAGGGCTGTCCCGGCCGCCGGCGAGCCGAGGGACCCCTCCATCTGTGCCACCCGATGGAGACGCATTGGTAATAAGCATTTACTACAGCCAAGGTCGTTTTCCTACAGTATTGCATTTCTCTGTTTTTCTGTAGGAAATGTCACCAGGAATTGGGTTTCCCATCCCTGGGAGGATTTAAAAGCCGGGCAGACGAGGTGCTTAGGGACAGAGTTTGGGGGTGGGATGGCAGGGCTAGGGGAACGGTTGGACTCGATGATCTCAATACTACAGCCAAGGTCGTTTTCCTACAGTATTGCATTTCTCTGTTTTTCTGTAGGAAATGTCACCAGGAATTGGGTTTCCCATCCCTGGGAGGATTTAAAAGCCGGGCAGACGAGGTGCTTAGGGACAGAGTTTGGGGGTGGGATGGCAGGGCTAGGGGAACGGTTGGACTCGATGATCTCAAAGGTCTTTTTCAACCTAAATGACTCTATGATTCCCCAAGGCACTTTCTTCCCCGTGAAGGAGCGAGAAGGTGACTCACCCAGGCGCTTTAGAAAGCCGAGAGCTTAAGGAGGGGGGCAGATCCCTTTCGTCATTGGCTTGAGCAAATGATTTGCCTGTATTTGTGTCATGGGCTGTAGGATGGGTCTCTTGAACATGTGTCACATGTTTGTTTTAATATTGCATGAGATTATTTATTGGAAGTGGTGTCCTTTCAGGAGCTCACCTGCTAGGTGGTCACTGGCTGGAAATTTTAATTATTTTAAGCAAGTAAATATTGAGCACAGTGTGCCTTTTGTGTAGTGAACATCCCCTTTTCTGTGTGTATGCAAAACATGTCAGTAGTTTGACACCATATTGAGATGAGCAAGGCAGGTGGAATTGTGCGGGAATACTTGGCTGCACGGGACTATTCCTCTGTATTCCCTGTCCAGGGCAGTGCTTTCCAAAGGTGCTTCCATTTGTTGCTGTGTGGCTTGACAGCAGGTTGGCAAGGCAGGTCAGAGGGGCTGAAGCACATAGGGTACGGCTTAAAACACGTGCCATGTCTTCTGCTGTCTAAAATCGGCTGAGCTGGCAGGCAATTTAGCCTACTGTCACATGAAAGTCCCAAAATGCATTTCAGCAGTAAATTAAGTTTTTGACTAGAATGGCGTTGGATGGAGAGACCAGAAAATAAATCTTTATGAACTTAGATTGTGCTGAAATATTACCATGTGGATTTATGGTGTCCTCCATGTGCTTAATTCGTTGTGAACCAGGGGGTCTATAGCATCGACTTTCTTCAACCCTTTCCCAGCTGGCATCTAAATTCCAGTCTAGTTTGTGAGCTCTGCTGAACTTCTGATCTTTGTATTTTTTCATACTGTCCGTATTGCCTTCCCCCCCCATGTGCCTTTGTGGGCCACATCATTGCAGTCCATGGTGGAGGTTAACTTGCTGGTGCATCTCTTGTTCTTGCTTGTCTCCTCTCCAGGTTCCAATGATTCTGGTTGGCAATAAATGTGACCTGGAGGAAGAGCGCGTAGTCGGCAAAGAACAGGGTCAAAACTTAGCAAGACAGTGGTGTAACTGTGCCTTTCTAGAATCATCTGCGAAGTCTAAAATCAACGTTAATGAGGTAACTATCCGCTGTTCCCTTGTCTTTCCTACTTCGGCATGAAAGCCGCGTTAAACCAGCGTGCAGTCCTTCGGCTATTTCGTACTCGGGAGGATTCAGGATGATTCGGAAACCTCAGCCCAAGAAAGGTTTGCGATGCAGCGTATTTCGCTACTGCTTTCTGTTTGTTTGAAGGAGATCTGCTCCTTTTTCTCTGACAAGGGTGGGTGACTTCTCCAGGTAAGTGCTTTCTGTAGCCTGCCAGAGGACGCAAATAGCAGCGGGTCCTGAGCAAGCCCCGTTAACTGGATGACTCTTAGCTTAGATAAACTTTATTTGGAAAGTAGACTTTTTTTCAAGGTAACTGCTGCTGCTGTTCAGAAGGTGGATTATGCCCTATTGTATCGCCCGTCACGTTGTGTAGTGTTGGCTCTTGGGTTTGAAAGTGTTTGCTTTTCACATTCCCGCTACGTCTGGCTGCCCAAGCAGACATCCCATCGCCGTCCTCCCCTGGTAAGCCACCAACTTCACGAGACCGTGCCTGAACGTACATCTGTCCAAGCAGCTCCCCATGCCTAAGTGAGAAACCCCTCTGCGATCGGTGTGCCTTTTGCTGCTGCCTGAGGCAGCGTAGCTGTGCTGAGGGAGCTCTGCTCGACACCAGGCACCAAGTTCTTCTTCTCTGCCGTGAATTATCTGGCTCTGACAGAGGCCACGCTTCCAGCGGCAGCGGCTAAGGTGACCCCATTGAGCACAACTGGTTTGGGGCCAGGAGATAACGGGGACCGTTGAGGAGGCTGTGTGATAAGCAGGAGCTTGGACTGGCCCCAGCGTTAATTCGGCAGGTAGTGGGATGTGCGCAGCTCTGCATCCGCCCGCTTGGGCAGGGAGGGAGCCCCGGGCTGAGGGAGCTGCAGCTCCTGTGGC